ACAGGGATGTCTTCCGGCTCATCGCAGACTGCATGCATGTGCAGACATGTCTCTGCTCCACCGGCTCCCCACTCCAGGGCCCAAACTGTCCACGCTGCGACCACCTCAAGCACTGACTGTGGAAGGAGGGTCCGGCCCTAACGCAGGCATGACCCGATGTGACTGCTGCCCAAACCCAGCAAACACAACTCATCACGTGGCCCTCAAGAAGGCCAGGAACCACAAGGCCAGCATGTATCCAGGAGAGTCCAACCAGTAAGAGTCGGCCACGTGACCACTCCCACAGGCACACGCAACTGTAAAGCAAGACGCTGAAACCATCTTAAGGAACACCACGCGAACACAGTGCCAGCGCAAGACCAGCAGAGTGAGGCCAAACGCTCCCGCCCAAGGACGGGCCAGCACCAGCGCGCTGCTCTGCGAGCTGACCAGGACAGCGCCTGCTTTCCCCGGCGCGGGCGCCACCATTGTCAGCCCGGGCAGCAAAGGCCCGAGTGACACTTTCTGCCACCATGACATCATTAAATTTCCAGTCTCGGCAACAAAGGCACACACAGGGCTTTACACACACTAAACCGTACCAGCACCACTGTCCCATAACTGGGCCAGCAGGGAGCCAACGACAGAACTGTGCCGGAGCTCGGCCCGCAGCCCGCGCTTCATCAAGCCTGCTGACGGAACAGTCTCTGGTCTGTGTACGCCAACGAGCCACGAATGCTGAAAGTCCCCGCAGCACTAGCCCGTCAACTTCACACTAACAACCGACCAGAAGAGTCTACGAACAGTCCAAGGATCTGCCGGAGTCTGAGCATCAACTGAGGAATCGACCCGTGCTTGGGGAGAGGCGAGGTGGGAACGTGTTTTGAAACAGAACCGGGTGTCCTACAGCCCTCGGCAAGAGCGCACAGGGGCATGGTGGCGTGGCCGCGAGCAGTCTCCGAGGCCAGCACTGAACCCCGCGGCTGTGGCGGGCTGCAGATACACCCGAGACAACGCTGTGCTGCCACACAGACTGCTCCTTCACCTTAGATGGCCACTCACAATCACTGGCTCATCAACTGAGAAAAGAAAAGGCCGTACCTTAACTCACACATGTACATGACACAGATATGCTGGAAGTGACCGCAGTGCCCCAGCTGGACCCAGTGCTGGGCTGGAAGCCTGGCCTGCGACTGACAAATCACCCGAGAGGCAAATTCCAGGGGGGCACCACACATCTGTGGCTCGTAGCTGCTGAAGCACTACCATATTCTACGTGCTGACTAATTTAAGAAAGATCCCCCATGTTTCGAGCACACTCTGACCAAGGACTGTCTTTGTGATAAACTGTTAGGCCAGACGCCAGCCTCCCGCAGTTTCGGCAGAGCCTCCGTGACCAAGAGCAGGGAGACAGGCAAACCCTGGCCATCCCGCCCACCTACAAGGGGAGCGAGACAGAGCACAGAGGCAGCTGGGAGCAGAGCCAGGGCCAGATCGCGACTGGGCGCACTCACGGCACGGGTCAGCGCCCCTTAGAGGGCCAGCCCCTGATCATCACCCAAGGCTTATTTACAGCAGGTCCTTACCAGAGCCCAAGCCGCAGAGAAATGCAACGGCCAAAAACACACGAACAGGAATGAAGAATTCCTCCAAGGAGCTTCTTAGTAGACTACATATAACAGAAGAAAGACTGAGCTAGAACTGGTGGCGCTCAGACCACAGAAAACCAGATAAAGGAAAAACTGACCTACAGAGGAACAAACAGGATATTACATCTGCTGAGAAGCCAGCAGAAGACAGTAGTGCAGGAAACACCTACCTACCCTATGAGACCACCACTCCCTAACGCCAACACAAAGACAGCGCGTGGAGAGAACAAAACTGCAGACCACCGTCCCTCGGCCAAGTGGATCCTGGGCCCCCGCTGGCATTAAGCGCCGCACTGTGAGGCTGCCTCAGCCACCGCAGGGCCCGTTCGATCCCTGGCCAGGGAGTGACCCCCAGGGCGCAGCAGACCTCTCCTGTTCCCCGCTGGTCCCCTGTTCTGCTCCCCACTCGATCTCTGGGGAATCCCCACACCCCCGGCCTGTACCCCAGTTCTGTGTGCATAAGTAAATAAAATCTTTAAAAAAACAAACCGGATCCGGCAATGTACAGAGAAGGGTTATACAGCATGACCAAATAGGCTTGCTCCCAGGTATTCAAAGTTGGTCCAAAGTGGGAAAATCTATCAACTGTACTCTATCTGATCATCTTATCAATAGCTAATAGTCACCACCCATCTAATAAGCTAAAAGGGAAAAAAAAACCACATGATCTCATGAACAGAAAAGGCATCTGACAAATTCAGAACCATCGTGACAAAAACCCTCAGGAGTGAAGGGAAGCCGGCTCCACTTGATGGCGGTGGTGCCGCGGCCCCACGCAGCGACACACTTCACCGGGCGGAAACGCGTCCCGGTCATCAGGAGCGAGGCAGGACGCCCCTCCCAGCCCCTTTTGCCGCCACACGGGAGGGTCTAGCAAGGGGTTAGGGCCGGCAAGGGAATGCAGGTACAGTGGCTGGAAAAGAGAAGCTAGAATTGCCTTTGTCACAGATGCCAGCGGCGTAGGAAATCCCAAATACCCCACCAGAGCTCAGGCTGCAGGATACACGCTAACGACATACACACCGGCAGGAAACAAGTGGAATTTGAAATATTTTGAAAATATCACTACATCAACACCCCTCCAAAAAATGCCAACACTAGTATAAATCTAACAAAATATGGACCAAACCTATATGAGGCACACTATAAAATCTAATTAAATAAATCAAACATCCTAACAGCCTCGATTCCTATGTCTCATCTGCTTTTTCCTTAAAAAGAACAGGGAGTCCTTAGAGAAAAGCCACATGGTCACAAAAGTGAGCTTTTAAATGGGCCAGAAATTCATATTCCTATCTCAGGCAGGCAGAATTAAAGACGGCCCTGAACAATACTACTGCCAATCAGGCCACAAAACATCACAGATAAAGCAAAACTTGGCCTACAGAAGGGCAAATACGCATCAACATGGCATTTGCTGATGTGTGCTGAGCCCTGAGACATGATGAGACACAGAGGGCTGGCAAAGGGGCTGCCGCAGCCTTTCACTGGAGAAAGGGGGAGCCCGCCAAGGAAAAGTTGCCACTGTACCTGGCTAATCTCAGTCAGCCAAGTACAATTAAGTTTGTGAAGGCCTGACTGCATAATGATTCTCAAAAAAACATGGAATTTCTTTTCTCAAGGAACTAGCACCTCGTTAAAGCTGACCTTATTCATCAAGGAAGCGCAGAGACTAACAGCGGCCACCCCTCCAAAAGGGGGCAGCTGTCCCCACAGGAAGCTAACAAGCAAGCAGACTGACTCGGGAGCCCCCTGCTGCCCGTCCAGTGGCCACCAGGCCAGGGCCAGGGCCCTCGGAACAAGCAGGCTGGCGTGCCAGCGTCACGAGAGCAAGGCGCGGGGCAGGTAGGAGCCATCCGGTGCCCGCACCCCGAGACTCGCCGAGTTGCCAGCACCGTGCAGTCGACTCAAGTGAGCTTCCAGACTGACTACAAAGCTGTAAGACTCCTCTTTGCCGGGTGTTACCTGCAGGCTGACGGTTTTAATAACTGTTAGGCGTTCTTTACCATTTTTGTTACTATTCTCCTTATGTGTTCACCAAAAAAAGCTGGACAACGGTCTTTCCAAAGACAGAGGAAACTAACGCATCATTTTATTTATAAAAGCCAGAATGAAAAAACAGCTACGATCCATCTGCTCTCTCGGGGACAACAAGAAGCCAGCCCTAGGGCGGCTGTGCTAAAGCACACCGAGGGCGAAGGCCCTGGGGGAGAGGTGAGCAGCCCCTCGGCAAACCAGAGGAGGCGCTTGGCCGGCCTGCTCAGGCACTGCGGCCGCTCACTGCGGCCCTTCGCCGCAGCACGCCACCAGCAACCCAACTGCCTAGGAACAACGTGTTTCAAGCAGACAAGACAGCAGACGCGTGTGTGAGAAGGATACAGGCAGCGGACTTCTGAGCAGCAAGGAGTGGGTGCAGCCGGAGCCAGGGCGACGGGGACAGGACAGCGACCAGCCAGCCAGTCAAGGTCAGTCAGCGCAGCTGGGAGGTCAAGGCTGGGCCTCTGGATTTGACTTCCAGCCCACAGCAGGTTTCAGAGTGTATGGAGAGCAAGGGGCCAGCCTCGCCACTGTGGCGACAGGGCGGGTCCGCGCGGAGGGGGCCCGGCGAGCCCTGGAGTGACGCAATGGGAGACGTCAAGAGTGGCTGAACTGAGGCCACACCGTGACAGTAACCCAACTCGTTTCCCAACAGGCCCTGTATTTTCAGCCTGAACGACACATGACGTCACCGACTGTCAGGACCACAGAGAAGAGGCCTCAGGCCAGAACAACGTCTCCATGGATGAGGCCCTGGTTCGAGCTCCTCCCAGAGAGCTATGAGAGTGAAGAAGCAAGCCCAGGACAGCATGCTGGGGGAGGAGGCGCACCGCGACAGCCGGGAGGAGCCGGCCGGCGGTGGCAGCAGAGGTCCAGCAGGGCAAGGAGAGCCCGGTGCCTCCGCCAGGCTGCTGCTGCAGAACTGCAGGGCCCGGCCACCGCCCAGAGCCGCGACACTCCACCTCCCGACCACGCAGGAACGGCGCCTGCTTCCCTCTCCCCTGGCCACAAGCGACACCACAAACCAGATGCCCGGCGGACGCCCGGCGAGCCAGGAGCTATTCGGTTTAGCAGGAGCGTGTTTCCTCACACAGACAGAACAACGGCCTTCAACAAACGCCGGAATTAACCGCTCCAGTTTTAACTTAGCTTTAATAAAGTTATTTCTCTACAGATCTTAAATAATTTCTGCTAACTTAGAGCTGGGGAGAAGAACTTAGCATTTTACTTTATCACTACTTATCATTTCAGCAGACAACAAAAATTTCAGAACTCAGCAAATAGACAAATGCTAAGTATACAAATGGCAAACATGTTTTTTTGAAGTGCTGATACCTGTTTCCATAGCAGTGTCTGCTTCTGCTGTCTCCAGCCCATCCATACTGTCCTCATCTTCCACTGTAGTTTTTCCTCTACTTCGAGGCCTACAAAGAAATAAATAAATATAGTTAAACACTAAAGTTTAATGCTCAAGGCTCAGAATTATACTCACATAATGCAGAGCTTGGGCAGTTTTTCCTAAAATTAAAACTCACTCTAAAGCCAAGAACGCCACCTTCGTGCAGCACGCACACGCTTCTCAGTCAAATGGAGACAAACGGAATCAAAAACATATTGAATTCATCCAAAACAAACAGGAAAACAATTTAAAAGAAAGGAAAAAGGGACCGAGATGGAACAAAATGCAAAACAATGAGCAAGAAGATACAGTAACTTCAACTCATCTACGCTGAACAGCTTTAGTGTTGGGGCGCTAAACAATGCGAGTAAAAAGCAAAGATTATCAGGGCCTCCCTGGTGGCACAGAGGTTAAAGTCTCAGCTCTATCATGTGATCACCAGCCACTGCCACTTGAATTCAATCCCCGGCCAGGGAGGGACCCCCAGGGCGCAGCAGACCTCTCCTGATCCGCCTGCTGCTCCCCTCAGCAGTGTACTTTGCCGATCTGCCTGTTCTGCTCCCCGCTCTGTCTCTGGAGAAGCCTCCCACACACACACCCCGCACACACCTCTGGCTTACACCCCAGTTCTTGTATGCATAAAATCTTTTTTTAAAAAAAAGGCAAAGATGAACAGACTAAAACAGCCAGGGCCCAATGTGCCATCTGTAGCATATACACCTCAAATATAAAGACCCTTTTGGAATAAAAGAAGAAAAAAAGAAAGCTACAGGGACTATATTACTAGACAAAAGTTGCCTTGAAATAAAGAGCGTAAGACCTAAAGGTGGATACTCTGTCATGATGAAAAGTGTCAATTCATCAAGGAGACGTCACATGTCTGCACCAAACTTCCAAATTTCAAAGTACATAATGCAAGGAAATCATACTGGCAATTACTGGAAATGACTCAGGAAGTCACATCAGCACCCACAAACGTCAATAAAGACTGAGCAGCGTTAATGCGGACCGTGCGGGCCGGCGCAGAGCCCCGCAACAGAACCCCGACTCTTTCCAAGCGCATGCTCTGTGCTGCAGATGTGTGGCAAAGTTGAGTAAATCCACAGACAGAGAATAAAATCTGTGGTCATATGGAATTAAATTGAAAAACAGATGTCTGCAATACACCCCAATATTTGGCAAAAAGAAAATAAAAATAAAAACACACAAGTCTAACCCAGCAGTCAAGAAAAAGTGACAAAGGAGCCGGAAAATATCTTCACTAGGTGCGATATGACTTTCTGGAATTTTAAACCTCAGGTTGGCAGTGAAGAGAGGGAAATTCACAGTTGTAAACAGTCACGTCAGAAAGTAAGAAAGATCTCAACGCTAATAAAAATGCAAGCCTCCACTTCAAGGAACTGCAAAGTGGGCGAATCAAACCCACAGCAAGTGGAAGGGGAAAGTGAAGAGCAGAAACGGTGACACAGAAACACACAGTTGGGAAATGTTCAACAACACAACCAGAAGGTGGCTCTTTGAGAAGAATAAACAGATGACTCTCCAGCCAAAAGTAGTCAAGATGAAGTTGCAAACTGCTGATGGCACCTGAATTGTCACCCTGAGGGACACGATGCCCACGAAAGAGCAGATGAAAATGGTATAAATGACTGTGACAATAAGTCAACAATTAAAATGAACAATATCAAAGGAAGGCAAAAAACCAAAAACTAAAACTGGCTAGCAAAAGAAAACCTGAAAAGCAAAATCCTGTGTAGAAAGTGAACGTCAGTGCATGAACTGCACCTTCAGGAAAGGAGACTGATCATTCCGGCTCAGAAACGGTGGGCGGGCGCGCCTCTGACTCAGTCTGTGAAGTCAGCACTACATGGACAGCAAAATCGCAGGGGACACTCTGTACACTGCTACCCGTCACAAACATGGTCTGCTTCACTGAATTAAAAAAACATCAGGGCCCTCCCTGGTGGCGCAGAGGGTTAAAGCACAGCACTGAGAATCTAAAGCCGCTTCCGCATGAGTTCGATTCCCGCCTGCCC